ATATTTTTTCCATTGCTTTTTCAGAGAGAGTGGAAGGGAGAGAGAGAGAGAGAGGGAGAGGGAGGGAGAGAGAGAAACATCAATGTGAGAGAGACACATCCATTGGTTGCTTCCCACACACACCCTGACCAGGGTTGGGGATCAAGCCTGCAACTGAGGTACATGCCCTTGGCCAGAATCAAACCCCGGACCCTTCAGTCCGCGGGCCGATGCTCTGACCACTGAGCCAAATCAGTGGTCATTATTTCTTTAAATAAGCTTTCTGTCTCCTTTTTCGTTTCTTCTCTTTCCGGAACTATAATAATTTTTAAACTGATTGTTTTTATGTATCCCATAGATCACACAGACTTTTTTTAGTTTTTCTTTTTTTCCTCTAATTGGATAACGTCAATTAATCTCTCTTCATCATTCCCAATTCTTTTTTCTGCTTGGGCAAGTCTATTGTTGAAACTCTATTGAATTCTTTAGTTCAGTCATTAAATCCTTCGACTCCAAAATTTCTGTTTGGTTCTTATTTTATGTTTTCTGTCACTTTGTTTTCCTGATATTGTTCAGTTGTTTATCTGTGTTCACTTGTAGCTCTCTGAGAATCATCAGAACAATTAGTTGGAGTTTTTTGTTGGTAATTCCTGGAAATCCATTTCTTTCAGGCCAGTTACGGGAAGTTTACTGTATTCTTTTGGTAGATTCCTATTTCTCTGATTCTCCATGATTTCTGTAGCCTTGCATAGGTGTCTGCACATTGGAAGAAGGAGCTACCTCTCCAGACTTTATGAACTGACATCAGCATGAGAGTACCCTTAAGTGTGGGTGGGCACATTGAGAACCACGTCTAGTGGGGTAGGGTGCAAGTGTGGGAATGTGCGGTGGCAATGAGTCCAGGAGAACACGTCTCTTTGGCTCAAGTTAGTAGAGTCCACAGCATTGACAAGCACAGCGAGGAGTCTGCAGTGCCTTCAAGGGCTTTTGGGGTCTTCAGCAACACCCCCCGGTCCAGTGACTAGGGTCCATAGCAGGGAGCAGTCATGGCCAATGATAGTGGTGTATACTCACTTGGCTGCTGTGGCCACTTCATGCTTGTGACCTGGCAGGGGCCTTTTGCAGACACACACACACAGTGGTGGGGGCCATGGAAGGCAGCCAGGGCTGCAGCTAACTACAGGCACATGGGTAGCTGCAGGGATCCTGCCTGATTATGTATGCTACTCAGGCTGCTGTATTTCAGTACAAGTGCACAGCAATGGAGGCTAGTGACGGGTTGGGCTGGGGGTATGCAGTGCACAGGTGGAGCGGCTCTCCCCATGCATGCAGACAGTGGTGGGCATCAGTTGTGAAGGTTCATGCTGGTATCTTGCACTCCCATAGCCACAGTGGCACGGGCTGGCTGCTGATTAACCACCAGGCTCCAGAAGGAGCAGGGATGGGAGGGAGTGAGGGACTCGGGCAGCTGGTGTCAGCAAATATGAATACTTGGTGAGCAAAAGCTGGTGAAATCTCTAGGTGGTCCTCTGCAGCTGTGCTGGCCATTGGTTCCTTCTTCAGTGCAAAAACCACTGGATTTATCTGTGGAACAGGTGGCTGCGAACCATGATGACTCTGGCTGCATGGCTCCCATTGGCAACCACTGCTTTCCTTTGTTGCTCTTAGCCATCTCTACACGCCTCAGCTTTGCCTGTCTGGGTGGGGCAAGATCTAAGCGGGATCTTAGTGTGATGCCCTGAAGGGCTGGGGAAGCTGGGTGCCGCCCTGCTCATCTTTTCCTGGCAAGGGAAACTTGTCCTAGCTGGGACGTTCCCTCTTTGTTCTAAACAGTGCCTGCGGGAGATGGGATGATTCAGGCAAAATGAAGCTGTCCCTCTCCTTATTTGCAGTTATTCTGTGGGGTTTTTTGTGGTTTCATTTTATTTCGTTGTTGTTGTTCTGCTGTGTTGCTGCAGTTTCCTAAGTGGACTCCAGAGCTCTCCCAGAGCTGTTTTCGTTCATGAGTAGCTGTCTAATTGTTGACCTTTGTGAGGGGACAGAGGCTGCTATCTTGGTGACGTCCTCCCTCAGCACACAATTATGTCAGGTTCTCCTTTTTTTGTTCTTAACACCCCATGTGTTTGTTTTGTTTGTGCTTTGCCTTGAGATACATTTTTTTAAAATATATTTTGCCCAGCAGGGCATGGCTCAGTGGTTGAGCATCGACCTAGGATCCAGAAGATCAGGGTTCGATTCCCAGTCAGGGCACATGCCCGGGTTGTGGGCTCGATCCCCAGTTGGGGGCGTGCAGGAGGCAGCTGATCAATGACTCATCACTAATGTTGCTATCTTTCTCTCCCTTCCGCTCTCTGAAATCAATAAAAATATTTTTTATTTTATATTATTATTTTAAAAAATATATCTTTATTGATTTCAGAGAGAAGAAGGGAGAGAGAGAGATAGAAACATCAATGATGAGAGAGTCATTGATCGGCTGCCTCCTGCACGCCCCCAACTGGGGATCGAGCCTACAACCCGGGCATGTGCCCTGACTGGGAATCGAACTGTGGTCTCCTGGATCATAAGTCAACACTCAATCACTGAGCCATGCCAGCTGAGCCATTATGGACATTTTAAAACTCATCCTGTCTGATAAGTGTGAAAGCAATGAGGAGGAAGCCTCATGAGAAGTCCATGCAAATGGGAAAAAATCATTTTAAAATTTGAAACCAGGGGGGGAAATGATGAATGTTGATTTTTGCAAGAAACTGTTTGATGGCAGGGACTATTTTGAAGGACAAAGAGAGACTTCTTCAAAACTTCTAAAATGCTCTCATGATGCCAGAACAAAAGTCAGCTAGAGAAGTGACAAAGTAGAGACACTTAGGACTTGATCGTAGCACTGATATCGAAGCCCATCGAGCTAATGGCAATTAATAAGAAGCTTAGGGGGTTATTGAAGAGCTTAAAGACTAAGCAGGTAAAATTTCACAAATGATTTGTTACAAAGCAGAGACACTTCCAAAGTTCAAAACCTTCTGAAATTACACAAAGTAAAATGCGTGGCTTAAATAGTATACCTTCTGTAAAGGTTCTTTAAAATGTTTGTGGACATCTGGAGCAGGGCTACCTATTACAGAAGACTTTCTGTATAGATAAATGGACCTATTTAGGGAACCAAATGCCCAATGGAGCAAATATTTTTAGTAATGTATCCAAAGAAGTGAATTACATACTTGTTTGGCAAAGTGTATTTGAAAACTTTACATTTTAATCCAACATGAATTATTTTGCATTTAAGAGCAAACGATGAACTCACAAAAGTGCTTGTTGAAGATATTTTAAATAGAGAAGCTTCCTGATTTAAAATAGATTACTGTCATTCAAGCATGGGGAATAGTTTTTAAAATAAATATTAAAACATGTATGGCTTTAATATTTGTTAAATAAATCATTAAAATTGAGTGTTTATTGAATATGCACACTTCATTTAGTATTTTCATAGTACTTTGTAAAATGCTTGTTCATTATATATTTTAACTTGTGAAGATGTTTTCCACAGCTGTTTACTATTTTAATATTTAATTAAACCATAAAGGCCTAAAGCAAAAAAGAATCCAAGAGCCCATTCACATCTCTATTTTACATAGCACAGAACCTTGATGACCTCACATACCCTTAATTACAATATCCTCCAACCAAATATTCAGTATAGGAATTTCATTGCTAAGAGAAGGTTCTCCTGAAACACACAAAAAAGTATCCTTCCCTTATTACCACCCTGCATTCTATATTATCTAAAGGTAAAGGAGGGAAACAGCAGCTTTTATTAAACATTTAGTTACGTAGAATGGCTTCTAGAATACAAAACTTAAAAGAAATTTTAACTATAAATTTGCCTTTTTATTAAAAGCTTTTCTTACTTTGAAATCACAAAATTTAAATCATCTAAGGAAGCACATTTGAGCCTCGTAAATTGAATCTTTCTTCTTCACAAGTATTTAAATAAAAAATGAATTGATTTAATACTATACTGGGGAAAAAATCTGCACACATTTACTCCCTTTTGTGGAGTTTGGAGGATGGGAATGTTGTGTTACTCTAGTCTTTTCCAGATTGAAATGTTTATGGTTTTACTAAGTATCAAGCACTTAGAATCTAAATAATATTGAACAAGAGTCTGTGTTTCATAGAAAATTATAAGTCATGTGTCTTCAAGGTTACAGAACAAAGTGTAAAACCATCTAAACGTTCAAATTTTATAAATAGTAGTTTATAGTGATTTAGAGATTAAGCAGAATATTAAATATAGAAAGTAATATTGACAACATCAGTGAAAAGGTACAGATATAGAAAATACATCACTTGTTACATTCAAAGTGCTTCTAAATGCGCTTTTAGTTTTAAATTTATTAAACTCCCTTAGCACTCTCATTTTCTATTTTAATCATCTCTACTTAAATCCAAACTTTCACCCTTTTTCAACTTTCAGCCCTCTCTGAAATCTTCCTTGAATATTCCTATCCTCACAGATCCCCCCCTTTTCTGAATTCCTCAATAGGAGAAACACTTTTGTAATGATCAATAGGTATTTAATAATCCATGCTCATTAGCCACTTTGATTGAACATCTCTCTCTTACTGGGAAGTAATCAATAACAGATGACAAATACTGGCTTAAGAACCAGCATGCAGGGAATGAAGCAGAGCAGGGTCCACCTGGTAACCTCTTCAGCAGTTGGAATCTGCATGGGTGATAAGTGAGGTTGGTTGTACAGAAGGGGAGAAGAGAAAACTCTGGGTGCCAGCCTGGATGAGTCAACCAGGCTCAGTTAAAACTTTTATTTTCCAATCAGTTGAACACTGATGGTCCCAAGTCTGAGTCATCACCAAATGGGAATTCCAGCAAATGTTTGAGCAAGAGGGGCAAGATCTCATGAAGTCAAATGCTTTGGAATCTCTTGGCAGAGAGGACAGAATAGCTTAGACGTGTCTCCTTCAGAGTCAGAGTGTTGACCTGGCTTGAGGAGGGCTGAAGGTTCAAAGCTGTTTATTATCTTCAATCTCGACATCATGCTCTGTTGTGGTTTTAGTTGGCTGTGTGGTAGGTGGAGGCACCGTGGCCGGAGAGCTTTGGTTGATCACAGGGGCAGAAGACAGAGTGCTCTGAGGTCTTGATGGGGTAGGAGATGGGGCAGGAGATGGGGTAGAACCAGTAGTGGGGGCAGGAGATGGGGTAGAACCAGTGGTGGGGGCAGGAGATGAGGTAGAACTAGGGGTGGGGGCAGGAGATGGGGTAGAACTAGGGGTGGGGGCAGGAGATGGGGTAGAACCAGTAGTGGGGGCAGGAGATGGGGTAGAACCAGTGGTGGGGGCAGGAGATGAGGTAGAACTAGGGGTGGGGGCAGGAGATGGGGTAGAACCAGGGATGGGGGCAGGAGATGGGGTAGAACCGGGGATGCAGATCATATGATTAGACTTTCCGTCTGCGTGAATGACGATGGTTGTACCAAGGGTGGGCTTGCCAAAATGAACAAAATATAAGGCCAGAACAACGAGGGTTGTAGCAATTAGACAGGCCAACAGACACACCAGAAATGTTTTCCAGAGTGACCATGGTTTTGCTGCAACCTGCGAAGGATGACAATAAGTGGAAATTTCAGCAAATTACATAGGGGTATCTTAGGTAAATGATTGCAGTTAGAACAAGGCTAACCTTTTCCATTACTCCAAATGCTGTAATTTAAAGCACAACATATCAACCCCCACTCTGTCTCTCTCTCTCTCTTTCAAATAAACACACACACTCATACACCCCTTGACCCCAAGTCCATGAGTACAAAATGTCCCCTCTTAGTTACCCTTTCACACTAAAGCAGTAAGGTGCCATCTCAAACGCAAGTAGAAATGCTCTAATTAGTCCTCATGGGTAGAAAAGTAATGAAGAGGCATATAACAACATGTCTCTTGGTTATCTTTAGGTGATGAAAAATTGCAAGTATTCTTTTGTTCATCGTCATTTCCTGTTTTCACATTATGTACTGAGAGTTTGGAATTAGAAAATTATTTATTAAACACATTTTTATAGATTAAATGTAAATAAAAGGACTTTGCTTGAGCTTGGAAAGATAGCAAAATAATAAATCTCTGGTATGGAGGGGATCTTAAAGGAACTGACTACAGCACTGAGAAACGGTTGGGGGCTGCAGATTCTAGGTTTTGCCCAGAGATTGTGGAGTGGCAGCTCTGAAGAGGGACAGGAGAGCCAAGGGATGAGTGGCAGGTGAAGGGGTAAAGGACAGTGGAGCCCTGCAGAGGGGCTATGAGGCAGGGCCTGCCTGCCCCATTTTCCATGTTTCCATTGTGCCAAAGGACTACTGAAGACCTTTCACCTCCCCCAGTCTTCAAACCTTACCCATTGCGGCTGGAAGGTCACATGAGGGGATCTGCAGCCACAGTGTGTTCCGCAATTTGAACAGTATGGATTTCTGGGTAGCTGCAGAGAAGGAATTTAAAACAACCAACCCTGGCTTTTAAGGATAAAGAAAGTTTATTTAGCCAGAAACATAAATATATAAAATATGCTAAACATTATGTGACTCTAACATGTATTAAATATGAAGAACTAACCAATTCTAGGAGAATCTAAGACTCTAAAAATGATTTAATGATGTAAATTATAAAAATACATTTTTTACATCAAATAATCAAAGAAGAAAAGTAAATGATCATTTCAGTAGATGCCCAAGGGTCATTTGACAAATTTTAGTATTCATTCCTAACACAAGCAGACGAACAATACAAGTCCCAAAGAAATAAAGGTAAAACAATAATTTCAAATTGTGACAAGGAATATTGACCTCGAACCAATGACCAACATCATATTTAACAGTGAAACATCAGGCACCTTCCTTTAGAGTCAGAAGTGGAGACTGTCTCCTACCACTAATGTGAGGTAATTTATTTTCTTTTTTTCCATTTTTTAAATTTAAATCATTTTTTATTTTTCAATTACAGTTCACATACAATATTATATTCATTTCAGGTGTACACCGCAGTGATTAGAGATTATATAACTTACTAAATGATCATCCCAATAAATCTTTCACCCATCTGGCACCATAAGTAGTTATTAAAATATTATTGACGCTTTTCCCTGTGCTGTACTTTACATCCCTGCTCTGTAACTAACTATCAATTTGTACTCTTAATCCCTTCACCTTTTTCACCCAGCCCCCCAAACACCCTTCCCATCCGGCCACCTTCAAAATGTTCCCTGCCTATGAATCTGTTTCTGTTCTGCTTGTTCATTTATTTTGATATTTTCTTTTATGTTCTCATCAACAATGGAATAATCTCAGCAATAATGGAAATGTGAAGATACAACTAACATTATTTCCATATAATATGACTGTATAAACAGAATCCCATGTAGTCTATCAAAATATAAAAATATATGTAACAGCACTTGTTTGATGCGTATGTGTGTATATTAGCAACTGCAGTAGTGATAACACATAGGAAATGGTTAAGCATATAAAATGCCATAGGACTTATATAAGGAAAACCATGAAACTTTACTGAGGAACAAAAAGGCAGCTTGAAGAAATATCCTCTTAGAGAAAGTTTCAGTAGCATTAGCTCTCAATTCTCTGAATTTTCATTAAGAGTTTTGTGGAAATTTTTAGAGGAAAGTAAATAAGTAAATTGATAAAAATTTCACTGGCAAAATAAATCAACGAAAACAATAAAATTACATTAGATGGGGCTGGGAGGAGACAGAAAGCAAAATATCAGCAGTGAAGTTCTCTGGGATGGATCATGAGTGACTATTTTTTCTTTGTAATTTTCCAGGTGTTCTAAAATAAAGTCATAGGATAATTGTAAATATATATATACATCTTCTACTCCTTGTTGGGGTGGGGGCATTTAAGAGATTGTCTTCAGATTACTAAAAGATGGAAAATTCTAACCCTTTCCATAATCTCAGAAGCTGATTTTACTGTTTGTGGTTTTTTTAGCATAATTAACTAATTATTTGACTTAATGGAATAAATAACAGAAATGATTTTGGCATATGGGAACATAACCACACTCATATATAATATATCATGAAAAGGAGACAGAAACAAAATGATGTATGAAAGCTGTTAAAGCAACGGCATTTTCCAGCTTCCCTGACACATGAGGCATGCTATGAATTAATGTTGTGGTGCTGTAGTTCATGAATCCCCAAATACAACCTTCAAGTTGTAAAGCAATTCTGATGTCAAATCCTATCTTTGTACTTATTTTGTTTGATTTGTCCCTTGGTTTTACAACCTCAAGTTAGTTATAAAATTTAGTTTTCTTTGTTAGGAACATAGCAGTCAAGGTTTTTGAGAAGCAGCTCTTACAATGAAAAGATTACATGTGAGAAACTTGAGTTCAGTTTCTGGTTCTGCCACTGGCTAGCTGGACTTCTAATGTTTCAATTTCCACATTTGTAAAATGAAGGGATTTGTTTGAATGGTGAATGAGACTCTTTATACATCCTAAGAAATAGAATTTTGACATTACTAGAGTAATACATTTTAAGCATAAGTTCCTCTGCCATAAGACATTTTTTATAAATTACTACTTTAAATACAAGTAGGCTGAAGAGAATAAATATTTTAATTGGATCAAAATATGCAGAAATATAAATAATATTAATATTTGCTATAGACACACATTTCAAATCATCTACTCAAATTTTGTCTATTGGTGCCTTATTATAGGTTTCTGACATAAATATCAAAATTTAGGCAAAAAGTCTAATGCAAAATTCCCAAATGACATGAGAGCATTGTTTGGCACACTGAATAATTCCTTCAACACTTGTGATTACTGATAATAAAATCTCAGATTCTATTCATCCTATAATAGCAAACATAAAAAATGCAACCTAATTTTCTTGAAGGGTTAAAAATTAAAGGTCGAAAGCAAGAACATTAGACATGAAAGGATTAAAGGGTATGTACAGTACTCACCAGCTCGGCTGCATTTTGTTCAATACCCACAGAGCGCTGCTGTTGTTTCCCATCCATTCTGAGGGTGCTGGTATCCCAAATGCAATTCTAAAGATGTCTGCACCCACTCTGTGGGTGAGAAGTTAGGAAATACTGAATTTATGTTAAAACTGTGTATTTATGCAGTCTGGATTGTGTAAACTAATAGGCAACTACTTCCTGAAAAAAATATCCAATTTCAATCCCAAAGTACAAATTTATGCTAGTTGGAGAAAAATAAACAGAAAAAAATTTGCTTCCTTCAGAAATGACACTTACAAAGTTATCTCAACTGTAAGAATGGCTCTGGGATTCTGAGCAGATATAAATCCTTGCCCTCCTTATTTCACAAAACTTATTTGAAATCCCAGAAATTTGATTTCTAACAGGTTAGGAATTTAGCTTTTGCTTCTAAAAAAAGCCCACAAAGCCACTCCTTAATTATAAAGATTGCAGAATTCTGTGGCTAAGCAGAGGGATTACGGTGATGACTAATTTCAAAACTTTCCAAAAAAAAGAAGACAATATTGAGATTACTGGATCATGGTCAATTTAGATGAATGGTGACTAAAATCCACTGCACTATTTCTAAGTCAGTGGCTACACTGAGATGGACAAGGGAAAACACATTACAATGGCTTTAGCTAGAGTTAAAAATAAAAGAGGTAAATACATTTCAGTAGCTCTTGATTACATAAATCAAGGATTATCTACAATAAACATTGTCTGCTTCTTAGCACATTATATCTTGATTTAGGTTAGGTAATAATTGTCATTGTTTCTAATGACTCCTAATCTTTTAGATGAGCAGAAACTGGAAAAGAAAGAATGTCTTTGTTTCTTTTCCACTTCTCACAAATAGAGGTGTACATGATACAGCATGAAAACTGAGGTGGTGTTTCCAGTCAGTCTGAGAGGCGATGCTCTTCAACCCTTTGGCAAAGTGGCATGCAGTATAGAATAGAGAAAAAATGATTTTAAATTTCTCTTTAGTCACGTATTTCCTGTAGGCCAGCAACTTTGGCTGAGGGTGCTTAGTAACAGAAACTTCCAAAATATCAATAAACTTACACATACCCTAATTTAAGAGCAGACACGTCTGTGTGTAACAGGTATATTCATGAAATGTTATATAAGTGAACTCCAAACCTCTGTACTAATTAAGAAACAATAAATGTGCATTTAGTCACAGCTAGTTACTAATTCCTTCCTTCCTTCCTTCCTTCCTTCCTTCCTTCCTTCCTTCCTTCCTTCCTTCCCTCCTTCCCTCCTTCCCTCCTTCCCTCCTTCCCTCCTTCCCTCCTTCCCTCCTTCCTCTCTTTCTCTCATTCCCCTGTGGCCAAAACAAATCCTGTCTCATTAATCCAGTGTCGTTCTGCTGGTACCTGAGCCCACTCTTACGTAATGGCTGAATAACTTTAGATCTTCAAATTGTAATTCTGAACTTCTCAGTGGTGGTCTAAATCTTAGAGTAGCAAATAATGAGAAAAAGTACCTTAAAAAGTTAGCATTAGCAATCTGGCTTCCTGCCTTTTTTTTCTCTTCAATGTAGCCTGCTATATTTTATTGGAAAGCCACACCCTTTCTAAAGCAAAACGGAAAGTGAGAAGACAGTGAAAATGGTCTTCAATGTACTGAAAAAAAAAACAATTACTAGCCAGCTAGAATTCTAGGCTCAGCAAAAATATCTATCAACAAAATGTTTAAATAAGATTATTTAAAGGTATCATCAACAGACACTAAAAGAAATGCAAAAGCAGAAGAGAAGAAATCTCAGTGGGAAGGGCTGAGATGTAAAAAGGAAAGGTGACAGGATAGGAATGTCCACTGTGACGCCTGCTCCTCAATATGGTACTGAAGCTCCTACCAGGGCAGCAAATAAGAAATTAATGATACGAAGATGCTAAGCTAGTTCTATTTGCATGTGAGTATAAACATAGAAATATGAAGAACCCACAAGCAAACTCTTAGAGTCAGAGTGTTGCAAGATCTGTAGATACAAAATCAGTATACAAAAATAATTTAAGAAATCAATTATATTTTTGTATACCAACAACAAATATTTAGAAAACTAAAACTTAAAAGAGACATTACTGGAAATATTCAAGTATCTAGAAAATTGTATTTATGTATCAATAGATGTACAATACTTTTATTGGAAAAATTATAAAACTTTATTAAGTTAGTCATTAATGAAGGCCCAAACAAATATACTGCTGGCAGCGGTATAAATTGCTAAGGCCATTTAGAAAACACTTGATATTGTGTAGTAAATTTGAAGATATTCATATACTATGATCTAGTAATTCCACTCCTGGTATGTATGTTCATGAAGGAAGCACACAGATGCACACACATGCATGCTTGTAGGTGCACACACACATACACATACACACACGCGCACACATACACAAGGCATAATTGTTCAGAACTGGAGAGATTATGTTTCTGTGTTCTGTTGCAAATATCTCTGAAATGGAAAGTTTATCCATATGTCACAGTTATGGCTCCAATTTTAAATCCCAGAAATGTCAACTTTTCAAAGCAATTGTTACTAGTACAAAAAAATTAAATATGTTGTTCAGAGAGCATGGCTATTGGGCCCACTTGTGCTTCCTGGTACTGAAAATCAGCTAGAAATCCAAAGAAAAGAAGATCAGCTTGTGCTTCTCTCCCACTGCTGTGTCCACTTGCTTATGGCCTTCCAAATAGGGAATGTAGAACTTCGAGAAAGTTATCCGGAAGCTCAGCAGAGTACGAAAAAAGTTGATAAACTAAAACAGTAGAAGTTAAAACACTCTAGATAAAAGAATTTTTATTACATATTGTATATATACAATCATATATACAAGCATATGTAAGTATTAACTACATATTTTATATATAAATATACATACACAATGTATATGCATGTAAGTGCACATATATGCAAAAGTGTAACAATTCTGGCATTAAGTGGAATACCCATACTTACTAATATTATTACTATATATGTGTATATATATATATATACTATTAGAATCTAGTAGATTACACTGTCACTAACGATGTAATAAGACTGCCCTCCTTACTGCGTTCTCCTTGCTTTGACCATTTTTTCAGTCTTTGCTAATTGGGTCAAGAAAAATATTGTGTGTGTATATGTGTGTGTGTGTGTGGTCATGTCCTTTGTTTTACACTGAAGTTAATTTCATACCATTTACATATTACTCAATATTCATATTTATAGAATGGACATATGTATCTATTATGTTTATTCGTGCTCATGTTTATGTTTATTCATGTTCATATTTATGTTTTATGGCAGTTCAATTATTATGGTTCAGTGTTCTTTTCCCTAGTGAACATTTTGTTACAAGACACTAATGACTTTTCCCCTTATGTGTTGCAAATAATTTTTCAGCAGTTTTTTCCTGTATATTTTAAGAGGTTATTTTTGACTTACAGAAGTTTTTAAAACTTAAGAGGTTAAACTAATGATCTCTGGTTTCTGTGTTTTCATTTCAACAATTAACTTTTTAGTGCACTTGAAATGAATTCTTTTTTCCCAAATATTTAACCAGTTTTTCCAGAACATTTATTATACAATATTCCCTTCTCTTCCAATTTATAATATGAGTTTTTACATTATAGATGATTTTTTCAATTTCCTATAAACAATTTAACCTAATTTCAAATGAAAAATTATTTAATTAAGAGCCCAGTACAAGGAAGAGAAGTTTGTTGGACATTCTGGCTATCACACACAGGGCATAACATTTTGACAAATATGACATGAATATCCAAACATTTATGCTTTATTTGAGCTTTAGGAAATTGGTCTACATATGCTGTATCTTATAGCACTTATTAATATTTGGTTATACATCTAGTTGATATTCAGATGACTTCCTGCTATCTATTCTCCACAGTCATTTTCCTAATTATCACAAACTAATATGGACAATTGACATTTGACACACATCCTTTCTTTTGACAACGCCTTTTTCTGAAAACATGTTCTCCCTTTAATTACCTTCTGGATTTCTGCATTTTAATCCTGTGACTATAATTCTCTTCTGCAGATATTATAGTCCCAGGTGAGCTCTGCTATGGCACTGAGCATAACCTATTGTAATTAAATATAGTTTAACAGGGCAGGGACAAGGCCAATTTTTGAAATGTATTTCCTGAGTGGTTAGTACCCAACAGCACAATTTATAAGAACTTAATCAATACTGGGTGACTAACTGATAAATTACTGGTTGGGATTACAAAATTCCGTAAATAAGTAGTTTATGGTAATTACTAAAGAATCTCGTTTGTGAATACTTGACGCCCAACACACTTGGAGGACTTGAGTTAATTAGTGCACCCAAGTATTGGGCGTCACTTTTTCTGGTCTGAGAATTCTATCTACTCACAAAATGTTTCACCACAATGCAGGTTTCCAAGTTCCCATTTCAGCCAACTTGATAGAACCTTTCAATCCTGCGCCCTCTTGGATGGCTATACTTCAGTGTATCTCCTGCTTTGTGCTGAACAGGAGAAAATGGAGACTGAATTTGCACTGAAATGAAACCTAGAGCCTTTGTGATCACTGTTACAACTACCTCCTGAAACCAACCCGCTCCAGAGTGATTCAAGCAGCCCATTTTGACAGAGTGGCACAAGTTGGGGGAAGTAGAGGAGTGATTACATTGGTTAACATTGTGAGATATTTCCAGATATTCACCATACACACACACACACACACACACACACATACATGTATACATTTAACAATAAAACATATAAAGGATGGTAATACAGACACCTACCTATGTACCTACTAACCATCATAATACATAGAAGTCACTAATATAATTGAAGCCCCATTATACACTTCCCCTGTAATATCCTCTATCTCCAGAAATAGCCAGAACCTTAAATTATGTGATTATCACTCCCTTGTTTTTCTGTATATCTAGACTCCACATCCCTGCACATAAGTGGTAAAGGTATTAAACTGTATGCTTCTGGACTTGCATTTATTTATTAATTTTATTTCTGTTTTGAAA